CCAGGCAATATTATCGTTTATCGCAATAATTTGTGAGACAATTAATCGCCCAGCAAAATTTGTTATCGTGACAGGCCTAGTGTCCATGTATTATTATCTTGTGGCCATGAGATAATTACTGCAGTAATTTCCATACAGAGACTGCTAATTGGTACAAGTTTGAATAAATATAAATTTATTTTCATGTAGGAATTAACTACAGTTCCATCCTTCAGTTACTTGTGGTGAGGCATGGAGTAATTCTTAGTGAGAGACACTGGATGTGCTGCTCTAAATGATCTTGTGCCCACACATTTGTTTTTTATCCAGTGTCACAGGATGGGCTCCACAGCTTAGAGTTTACACCAGTAACAAACAGTTGGACATGAGTGACACAGGTTAACTGTGACCCTACTGAGACACCGTACTTATATATTTTAAGGCTTTATATTAGAAAGTTGARGTATTTAGATGGTAGCTGCTTGGTATTTTCTGGATTACCTACTCTTCCAGTTTTGAGCCCAAATGTTTGCTGGTTTTCTTCCAGTCATTCGAGCAGGTATTGTTCTTGTTCAGAAGCTGCTTCATGTGATCGAATGTTTCAGACTAGCTGGTCCAGTAGAAACTGACCTGTCCTGCTCTGTAAACATACAGGCTGGGGTAACTGTGGATGCCTCTCCTCCTGCACAGGTGGTTGTTGTCTCCACAGTTCACCGCTCCGATCCGGATCACTCCATCCATCTCTTTGGCAAACTCCCTCCACTGAAGGTGAACARGTTGTTTCAGTAAATGTGTTGTTTGATTAAAAACAATGTTTGATGAAACAGAAAAACATTTGACCTGTTTAGTGTTTTCTTACCGTTGGAGCCAGCTGGTGACAGTGTGAGCATCGTGGGAAATAAAAGTTGACAAACCAGATTTCTCCAGAATTCACTGCAGCTTCTACAACACACAAACACAAACACATGGACGTGTCTACCAGWGATGTTTCACACTCTGAACACATCAACATCCAGAGACTCTCTGAAAGCCTCTGCTTTGTGTTCATCTGCCTCAGTTTAAGAAAATAAGTACAGAGCAACAACAAGTGCAACAACAGACCAGACAAGTTGTGTAGAGGTTGCAGATATGTTCTGCTTTTTGTGAAGATGTTTGATTGTCTTACCAAAGTCTCCACTGTCCAGAGTGATAATCTCCAAGTCGTCGTCGTAGATTCCTGTAAACACATCGATTCTTACATCTTACAGCAGAAGAAGAAGAAGTTGGTGTGTTCTGACATTCGATGGTGCTGCTGTTAAAAACTCAAACCTACCAAAGTCATATCTGTAGTAGTTCCAGCTCTCGTACCGTCCTCCCTGCTGCTCGTCCAGTCCCTTCTCTCCATACTTATCATATTTCTTCCTCAGCTCTTCGTCTTTCAGAACTTCGTAGGCCCGGTTCACCTTCAGAAACCTGTCGTGTGCTGAGGGGTCAGCCTACAGCATCGTTTAGAAAAGACCAGAGTTGAACTGCAGGTCTGTACCAGCAGATATAAACTGTTCTGGTTGTGAGTGACTCACTGGGTTTTTGTCAGGGTGCATGCTGAGTGCCAGCTTCTTAAAGGCCTGTCGGACCTCTCTGCTCGTCGCCTCCCTGCTGACTCCCAGCAGCTCGTAGTAGTCTGAGCTCTCAGCACACAGCYCCGTCAGCGGGATGGACAGGAAGAGCAGGAGTGGCAGCATGAGCCGGACGGGTCGCAAGACCTCATGGACAAGCCTGTACCCCATCCCCAGTCCTCCCACTGTACCCAGAAGAACCTGCAACTGGGACAGAAGGAACCAGAGCTCATGTCTCTAAAGCTGTGTGTTAGTGTTGGTAAGACTGGTTTGATAAATCTCCACTTAACAGCACACACACACACACACACACACACACACACACA